CTCCTTGCAGCAGTGGTTCTCAACCTGTGGGTCACGACCCTTTTGGGGGTCGAATGACCCTTTCACAGGGGTCGCCTAAGACCATCGGAAAATACATATTTCTGATGGTCTTAGGAACCGAGACACTATAGACCAGTGGTTCTCAACCTGTGGGTCGCGACCCCTTTTGGGGTCGAACGACCATTTCACAGGGGCATTTTTTTCCCCCTTTTTCATGAGCTGTGCTATTCCCTCTTATTCTATTGGCTTTTGAAAGCCAATAGAATAGACTCTCTTGAATAGAGTCTAATTCTATTGGCTTTCAAAAGCCAATAGGAATTGTCCAGGCTGTCTCTGCCCTGCTGAGCCCGCCAAAAGTCCCAGTCGGCAAACGTTGCTGCAAGTTGTCTGCAGCTAAGGTGAGCTTTCTGGAAATTTCCACCCCTCCCTGCTGAGCAACTACTAAATGTAAGTAAAAGAGGGCCAGGGCTGGTAGGGCTGCCCAGGAGCGCCTGGGCCTGCCTGCTGCCGCACCGAACGGGGGGCAATGGCGGGCACTGGGAGGGTAGCTGGCGCACGTGGGGCCCGGCCTTCCCCCTGTGTTTTCTGCTCCACCACAAATTCGCCTCCCTTCCACTCTCCTTACGCAGCCATCTATGGCCTTAATACAGCCCTCAGTCTTTCTCGCTTTCAACACCCCCTAAAATTCTTCATTCAGACAGGCTTCCAGAATTCGGCTGTCAGGATGCAGGTAACCCCTCCCCCCTGTCCTGCCGCCTCCCACGGCGCCGTGCCATTCCGCGTCCCGTGCCTCCATGTCTCAAGCCTCTGTGGTACAGAACTGCTGGCGTTATGCTTGGGCAGAAGATTTTTTTCTTTTACAGATGGGGCGGGTGGGCCCGACATTTGTGGGCAGGCAGGACCCCGCCCACCGAGCCTCCGCCTCCCCATCGCCCTCCACGCCAGCCGGCTCCGTCGCCAGCCCTCCCAGCTGACGGGTGCAGGAGTTTGGTGCTGCATCCAGCCGAAGAAGCAGGTGGCTGGGAGGCCACCGCGGCGCCTACCTCCTGCGCCTGTCAGCTGGCGACCCCCGGATCTGCGCCCGTCAGCTGGGAGGTCTGGCGACGGAGCCGGCTGGCGTGGAGGGCGGTGGGGAAGTGATGACTCGGCGGGCGTGGTCCTGGCTGCCCGCGAATGTCGGGCCCACCCATGCCATCTGTAAAAGAAAAAAGTCTTCCGCCCAAGCATAACTTTTAAGGATTTTAAGGATCTTTGAAAGGAAGAGAGAAATAGAGAGAGGGAGCTGAGCTGAGCCGGTCCCCATGCCTCCTGGTTGCCCGGCCGCCCTCCGTGCCATGCCGGAGCCTCCCCCGCACCACCCGGCCCGCCTCCCTCGCCGCCGGAGGCCGCCTCGGCCCTCCGGTGCCCGGTGCAGCCCTGGGGCTGGCGGGCAGGAGCAGCTCCTTCCCGGCTCACCGGGCTCCGTGTCTCAGAAGCAGCCAGGCGGCGGAAAAGAGGGCGAGGCGGCGGGGGGCGGCGATGCCCGCATGTGCATCGGAGGCCAGCCAGCTGGCCCGGGAGGGGAGAAGCGGTGCCTTCCGAGCGGGAGCTGGCGCTCCGGCTGCGCCCCTCTTGTGTGCGATGAATTGGGGAAGGGTTTGGCGGTGAAGAGCTGCACGGCATGAAAAGGGGCTCCCATGACCCCATCACTGCAATGGCGCTTAGGAGACTGGAGGGGCGGGCAGGTCCTGGAGGGGCGGCTGGGAGAGGGCAAGAGGTGCTGGGATGAGGATGGAGGGCTCCAGGTTGGCGGGCGCGAGAGGGTGGCCAGCAGCTCCGAGGTGCGCGGATCCTCCGCGCGGCTTCTGAGGCCCTGGAGGTGACGCCGCTTGGCTCTTTGCCAGGCTCTCCGCCAGAGCCTCCCCCCCTCCCCGGGCAATTGTGCGGAGCTGCTTGTGTGTCCTTGGCAGCGCCTGCAGGCAAGGCTGTGTGCCCAAGCCAAAACGCCGCGCTTTTTTTACCGCTTCTCCTCCCGTTGGTCAAAGAGGCAGACGCGATTTCCCTTTCCCTGGTTCTTTTCATCTGCGCTGGAAAGGACAATTTGGACTATTTTATTACCGGTACCTGTTGCTTGTTTTATTACTTGTTGCCTTTGCTGAACCAGGGAAAATTG